AATAAGGCATTTTGTAGCTGGTTGTATAGTTATTTTGTAACTGCATATCTAACCCTTTTATTTTTTTCAGGAGGTTGTAAACATGTGGCTTCATAGAAGAAGTGAGGAACCATCTGTAACATCTACTCAGTGTTATTGATAATGATGTACACTTGGCTAGATTGTTAAAGAAACCTCTTCATCCACTACAGGAAAATAAATCAGTACTTTTATATTCTTAGGATTTGTATATATTTTTTATTTGTAAATAAATTGTTTTTTTACTTCATTTTTCTCATTTTTTATTAAAAGGTTAATAAATAAAATTGTTTGTAAACAATAATTGAAGTTTTTATTAAAAATCACCAATGTTAATAATAATAACTTAAGTCAATATTATTCTTTCTCCTTTTTTAAAGCCACTATTAATGAAGGTATTACTTTAGCTTGACCTATGATCAATTTTTAATTTTGTGATATATTTGGTTTGACAGAAAAAAAATTAAAACCCTTTGACATTGGTTGTTTTTACTTAGATTTTCATAAAAAATAAACGGAACTGCAAACATGTTTTACTATCGTAATAACGAATAGCAACATGAAATTTTTTTTCACATTTATCACTGTTGTCATTTTCATAAGAAGGCACAATTTCTGGTTTTTTGAAAAAGGTGGCAAGCATTGTGATATTTTTAAATTTATCACCAGTGATACCACATGTAGTTACCCGATTTATTGGAATATATAGACTTTGCTACCACATTCAACTGAACTTGGTTTTTAATATTTATCACTGTGACATAGGCGTTTTTGTTAAAATGTTTCATTTTAAACTGCTGTAAATAGGTGCCTTTGTTTTGGTAGTTTTAGTCCCAAAAAAATCTATGCATATACAGGTACTCATTCCTCTTCGATTTGCTCGAAAAGTTAAATTTTTATCAAAAATTACATTGGCTGTTTAAAAACTCATTATAATCCCTGAAATGTGATAATTAGGTAAATTAAATTAAAAAACAAACAAAAAAGTTTATTAAATTAATATTTACTCTTACAAAATAGGTTCTTGTAAGTTAACAAGCAATTATGCAGATATTACTAAGTAAATGTACTTGCTTAAAATTCACACACGAATGTGGTTTTAACATGTTAAATTAACTAACCCTTCTTATAACTCTTTCCACATGTATTCTTAGAGATGCTATTCTTTTACTTAATTGTACATCTTCTGGAGAAGTTTTTTCATTCTGTGATACACTAGGTGTGGCTTTACTAAAGTGTATCCCATGTTTTCAAGTAGCTGATTATTCTGAAACCCCTATCTGCCATTATATGGGATCCAGGAACCAGTTTGTTTAAATACCCACATTTTTCCATTATTTCTTTATCACTAGTTCTTCCACAAAATGATGAATAAATTCGGTATCTTCAAAACTTTCAGGAGATTCTGCATTTTCTTCCAGAAGGGTTTTTAGGTTATACACCTAAGAATTTATAGTAGCCTTATTTTCAATTTCCTGAAGCAGAAATTGCTGCTACATCTTGATAATCCGGTGTATTTTTATTAAAAAGTTCACGAGAAACATCGCTAGTAGAAGGTTGATTTTCTTCTTTCCAAATTTCTAGGAACACTAATAAATATTTTTGAAGATGAATGTGAATCATTATCACATTCTGGAACAAAACACTTTTTCGTAGTCATAATATTTATAAAAAGTACAAAATTAAACAATCAAATTCCAAATAAATTCTTGATGGAGACACTATGATGACAGATGCCATACACAGTGCTGCCATTTTGCCATTTTCTGAATTATTAAGTGACTTTTAAAACAATGAAACTTTAAATATGGTAAAAGTTTAAACAGAAATAATACTTTAAAAAAACATTTGATATTATATATTTAAAAGATATTTGTTTAACGATGTTTTAGAAGTCTAAAAGTAAGAAGGAGTACACAAACGAACGTACATCACTTCTCGTAAACCTTCTAGTCGGCAACGTTGTGCGCTAGCTCCTATTGGTCTATTCCCGGTGACGTCATAAATTTTAAAAAAATTCATAACTCCGGCAAATGAATAGATAAAAAAAAAATAAAAAAAATGTAATTTTATTTTCAACTCTATTATTCATAAAAAAAATTTCAAAATTTTTGAACATGCCCCATTGTATAGTATATGAATAAGAATCTACTCAGGGAATTGTCAGATATTCCTAAAAGATGCAGGTTCTAGGCAGTGGTCCTTAAAGAGTCGCATAATTGCTACTAATGTTTAGCAGTTGTTTTTGTCAGCTCTTGAATGTACCCTCTGTGAATCTTTTAGACTGCCTGAGTCCAAGAAGTTCCAACCAGAGCCTATATGGTGTTCTATATTCATCTGTTCCATTTAGCACCTCTTTTACATGTTGATATGAAATACCACATGTGGGTTCTGGTCCAATTCGAGGTTTCCCTCCCTGCCTGGGTAGGAGGACTGCTTTTTCGTTTTTCAACACTCGATCATATCGCGGTACCAATTCAAGAGTGATCTTATTATGTTCTGCCAGGGCCTGGAGGAACTTTTGGTAGTCTAATATTAATTTAGAATGGTTCAGCTCCCTTTCTAGCTAGTAGGTCTAATTTCTTGTTTTCCAACACTCTTTCATGTCCCTGCATCTATTCAAGAGTGTTCTTATTATGTTCTGCCACGGTCTGGGGGAATTATTAGCAGTCCACTATTAATTTAGATTATACTTTTACCCTCTTTAGTGCTTTAAAGTTCTGCTGGCTTTCTATCATAATAAATACTATAAGATTTCATCAAGAATTAATGGAGAACATTTTGAAAACCTTTTGCATTATGGTTAGAATTGTTAATTTGGAAGTTAATAATGGTAGGTGGGGGTTTCCGAGTTTTTCTCAACTGTAAATCAAATGGCACCAGCAATCATCTGTATATCGCCCCGGAGTGTTACGGCAAATAATAAATTTCAAGTTGATAATATTTTTCGTTTTTAAGTTAGGATTTTTTTTTGTATTTAAACCCCCCCCCCCTTAACCTCTCCATTTTTATTCAGATTTTTTCAAACTCAGTAGGCTTCGTTTTCTTATAGAGCTCAATTTTTACTAAATACTTCATGTTGATATCGCTTTTCGTTTGTGATTTATGACTTATAATTTTAACCCCTCCTAACCATCTATTTTTAATCATTTTTTTTTTCAAAACTATTAGGCCTTATTCCCTTATACAGTTTGATTTTTACTAAAAATTTCAAGTTAATATAATTTTTCGTTTTTGAGTTAGTATTTTTTTAATATCACATTAGCATTTTTATTTAGATTTTTTTTAAATTAATAGGCTTTTTCCCCTTATAGAGCTTGATTTCCTGAAATTTTAAAGTTCAATCATTTTTCGTTTTTGAATTATCGTGCGGACAAAAAACGTCACATTGGACGGACAAAGTAAACCTTTAATACTCTTCACAGGAAACTGTTTGGACAAAATAATGACCATCTCCCTTAGGTCTAACGTTTATTAATTTAATTCATTTGCACTAGGGCACTAAATTAATCTTTACTCAAATACTAAACTAAGTTATACGGACATTTACTAATATACTAATAATTTATATTAATAATATTAAAGTGCTCAGAGCGATGTCTTAACTTGAACTCGTAAAAGTAGAAGCCGTAAGAGGCCCAAATAGTGCAGAGAGGAACTTTAATGGATTAGAGCATGACCGGACTAAACTAAAATGACTCTCATTACAGGTAGTTATTACAGGCATTACAAGTGGTACGTGTCACTTGAAAACTTATTTTCTTGAGATGTTATTTATGCTTCTTCGACGATAAGTGTTCACCTACAATAAATAATCAATCGCCCCCTAATTTTACTGGTTTTTTCTCTCCCATGTTTTAAAATGCTGCGTAGGTGCGTGTCTTATTTTGAAAATTAGACATTTGTACCAAATCCAGATAAAAATTACAGTGTTTCACTGAATTAGTGTCTGATAAAAATATTTCATATCTAATGAAAAAAATTAATAATAATTTATACCAAAACGCGATAACTCTACAATATTTTTCACTAGATTTTTTGAGGTCGCTGAAAACAAATCTGTTTCCAGAACTTAAAAGTATTAACTAGCCCTTTTTAATGTCTAAATTGTCACGTTTGATATCATTTTATGAACAGTTTTTAATGTTGTAATTTAATCCTAATTGCTTGAATAAATTTTTCCAGAAAATACCCTCTTTTTTCACACTTTATTCTTTCGTGATGTACAATAATTAGTTCCTAGAAATACGTCTTCAATTTTGTTCAAATTAAAATTCTAACCATAAAAAATAATAGGTAGGAATATTAGAGTTTTATATTATTTGAAAAAGTCTCGAAAATTATAGACATTTACTTAAAAAAGTTTTAAATGACACTATTACACCAATTCATATTAAAATATTCATTCTTATAGGTGATATACTTAATAGATAAAATTGCCTTAAATTGAATAAGTTGTCAATGTTTTTAACAACTTTAATTGAATTTCATACATTTTATAAAAGCAGATTTTTATGAGAAGGCGACATATCTGATAGAACAATACTATAAACTGTAAGTTATAAAAAATACGCCCTTTTGTAATTTATCTAATTTTCTTTGTATTTTAGAAAATGAACCTAATTGATGCATTTGACACGGAAAAACGTTACCTAACACTACAGGGATTTTACCCTATTAAAAATCCAAATATTATGTACAATATAAGTGCAACTTTTAACACCGTTTTATCTCTAGCCCAGTGGGTTCTCATGGTCCTCTTTTTAGTGAACCAAAATGGCGATTTAATCAAAATATCAGAGGTTTTGCTTTTTTGCATGACCCAATCAGCTTTCATATCGAAACTTTTGAATTTTATCGTACAGAAAAATAAAATGTTGATACTTGAGAGACACCTTAAAAATCCAACACTTTGTAATGTTGATTCCGAAGAATGTAAACTTCTTGAAACATATATATCTGATGTTAAATTGTTAGCAAAAATGTTTCGTGTTTTATGTGTATTTGTTGTAATCTTCTATGGACTTTTTCCAATACTGGACAAAAATCCTGAAGAAACTAAAAAACTACCACTACCCTTATGGTTTCCATTCGAAATAGATAAGTCCTACTACTTTATATGGTTTATGACTGTTCTTAGCATCTGTATTGGAGCTTGGACTAATTCAAACATCGATATTTTGACCATAATGTTGATTACTTTAGCCACAGCACAGTTTGAAATTCTTAAAAAAAGACTCAGATCGATTGTACCAATTAATGATGAACATATGGACGAACGTTTGTTGATGAGAAAGTTAAAGGATTGTGTCATTCATTTCAATGATATTAACAGGTTTGTAATACAGAGTATTATTGAAAAACATGTAGATATTATAGCAGATTACAATTTTGATTATCCTGGAATATATTGTTACGATAGTTTAATTTATTTATAGTTTATTTATTTAAAACACACTATTTACAATTTTTTATGACGTACTAATTAATTTATATAATACTTAGGTACTATTATAACTCACAATTCTAATTTATTTATTACAATTGAACTTTTCCGTCCAACACATTATTCAAATCTACCCGTCCGTCGATAAGTTGCGCTATTTACACAAAGCAAAACTCTGTACGAGAAGTTTCTATACGATGTAGAATGTCCGATAATTCCATCTCTATGACTCAAGGGCCACGTACCGCTTTTTCTGGTAGATTCGAGAAGCGGTGCGTTTGTTCATACCACGGGCAAGGAGTAAACGAAGCACAGGGACGGCTCTCTCACGACATTGCCCTCTCCTTAAGAAATAGTTAATCCTGAAACTAGAACTGAATGTTTGAATCTGCAACTGGATCCTCTTTTACAATTTCCATTTGCATAGAAGTAACAAGAGACGGTTTTTATTGAAATCTGGACCCTGGGCGAATGGCTGCAGACCAATACTCGGACCTCGGAATCTTGTCCTCGTTGGCGGAAGTGCTGTGGACCAGCGAGTAGTCTTTAGGAACCGTGAGCAGATCTTGTTGTTGCTCGGTTGTAACACAATATTTTGCTTTTCCCGTACCTCCATAATATGCACCCATAAATTCTTCAAAGACAAGGTCAGGTGATTCTCGGAACTGGTTTACTTCTTCTTCCTCGTCATGGTTACCCTCAAATGGAGCCAACCGATTTTGGTGCACTACATTTGGTTTACCGTCCAGGATATTATTTATACGATAAATGCCATCAGTGATTTTTTGGTTTACCGTCCAGGATATTATTTATACGATAAATGCCATCAGTGATTTTTTTCTTAATGCGGTACGGACCTTCCCAAGACCTTTGAAGCTTCGGAGAATAATCTTTTTGTTTTCTTGGGTTATGGAGCCAGACTTTGTCGCCTTCCTTGAAATATCCTTCTGCGGCTTGGGTATCGTATCGCCTTTTTATTCTGTCGCTGGCGATTTGAAGATGCGAGCAGACCTTCATGCATATCGTCCATCTTCTTCGTAACTGGATCACATAATCTTCACCATCTACATGTCGGTATCCAAACTCGAGGTCGCACGGTAGTCTCATCTCAGGCCCAAACAGGACCTTTGCTGGTGTTTGGCCTGTTGATTCATTGACAGCGGATCTATAAGCCATTGCAAAGAGCGTAAGATATTGATCTCAATCTCGTTGATGGTTTGAAACCACTTTTGATAGATATTTGCAATTGCTCTTATTCATTCGCTCTACAATTTCATCGGATTGTGGGTGCAATGCTGTGGTTCTGGTTTTCTTCATTCCTAGTCTGTTACAGATTCCACGGAAGAGTTGGCTTTGGTCACTGTGGATCTCCAAGGGCACTCCAAATCGACAAATAAACTCTTTTATCAACACATCTGCAACAGTTGCGGCCTCTTGATTTGGAATGGCGTAGACACCCACTTATTAAAATAATCCATAATCACCAAAATGTATTTATTACCATCCTCGGTCGCGGGGAATGGTCCAGCATAATCTAAGGCGATCCTCTCAAATGGGCTACCAATCTTGCATTGCTTCATGGAAGCCTTCCTTTTTCGTTGAGGTTCATTTCTCATAGCACAGGTGGTACATTTCTTACACCAGTCCTTTACATCATCGGAACTGTTCATCCAGTAAAACCTTTCCTGAACTTTCTGAAGAGTTTTTCTAACACCGAGATGTCCTCCTGATGGACTGTCGTGTAACTGACGAAGTATTTTGGCTATTCTACTCCTTGGAATGACCAACTGTCTTCTGTTCTCGAAATCAGCATCATTTTCAAGTACTCGCTTTAATAAGCCATCTTCCAGTATAAAAGAGTCCCACTGAACCAAATATGATTTAAGTATTGGAGAGAGATTAGATACTTCTTACCAAGTAGGTCGACGATTTTCCTCTCTCCATTGTCGCACCTTCTTTAAAACGGTATCGTTCTCTTGTTCTTCCCTAATTTTAGCAGGGGCCCACTCTTAGTTGACTACTGCTGTTCTTAGTAGTCCACTTTCTTTAGATTCAGCTTTGTTGCAGTGGGAGTACTCCGCTGGACACGGTCTTCTAGAAAGTGAATCGGCATTTCTATGGCCTATTCCGGCTCTATGTTCAATCTTAAAGTCGTATTCCATTCAATCCATCTGGCGATTTGACCCTTCGGGTTTTTGAACCACATAAGGGCGGCATGATCGGTACGGATTCAGAATTTCCTTCCATATAGCTATTGAAGTGTTCTACGCATTTCACAACTGCCAGGAGTTCACTTCTAGTGACGCAGTAATTTCGCTCAGGTTTCGAGAGCACTTTACTAAAATAACCCAGTACTCTTTATTTTCCTTCCTGAATCTGTGAAAGCACCCTTCCAAATCCCACTTCTGACACCAATGTTACGATAGTTTAATTTATTTATAGTTTATTTATTTATTTAAAACATACTATTTACAATTATGACGTACTAATTAATTTATATAATAATTAGGCACTATTATAACTCACAATTCTAATTTATTTATTACAATTTAACTTTTTTCTCCAACACTTTATTATTCGAATCTGCCCGACCGTCGATAAGTCGCGCTATTTGTACCAAGCCCAACTTTGTACGAAAAGTTTCTAGACGATGTGCAATGTCCGAAAATTCTATCTCTATGACTCAACGGCCACGTACCGCTTTTTCTGGTAGATTCGAGAAGCGGTGCGTTTGTCCTTCATACCACGGGCAAGGAATAAATGAAGCACAGGGCCGGCTCCCTCACGATAATATATCAGATTTTGAAAATGCATGTTAAATAAGGTATCCGCCACTGAAATTGGTCACCTATACCTATGAATAGCGTGACAGCTAATGTCATCGACTCCGAATACCAAGCTTACTAATCCACGATCTAATAGTAGTCGCACATTTTGTTTTAATTTGTAGCTTCATTAATGTAATGTTATTAGGTTTGTTCTGGTTCTCAAAATAAAAACTGTTTTGAAACTGCGCCGGACCGTGTGCGTAAAGGCAAAAAATTCCCGACTGTTTGAAATTGTTGGAAAACCAGAACACATAAAAGTGTTTTGTTTATTGTTTATTATAATAATGCAGTTCCTTTTAAAAGCTCAGCTTCAAATAACATTTGCATGTATATGTTCATCATTATCATCATCACATTTCAATGAAACAAAAAAAACGGGAAAATAATATTAAAATATTAATAGTTTTAAAATTGCCTCAATTTACAAATAAAACAAGAACAAGAGACATTCTTCTACACATAAATAAACAATTTGGGATTGTATACGTTCTGTATGGTCTTAAATGCTAATACAATATTCATAACACTTAAAAAACGCATGCGCGGTCAAAACAGTCCAAGTCGATCCACACTCTGAAACAAGAACACATTTTGATTATTTCGGATACGAAACCAGTGGACTGAAAAATCCGTGAAGTAGTCCGTGAAAAACCAGAACACTTTTTAACTACTGCGCATGAGCCCGACAGTTGTGGATCGTTATTTCTCAAAACCAGAACAGACCTTGAATGTTTAGTATAGACAGAAACTCTTCTGAATGTCATTTAATTTAAATATAAATAAAATGTTTACTTACTAATAACTATAAAATGTTTTAACTCAAACAAAAAAGAAAGTCGCCATCATTGCAATTTTATGTTCAATTAAAAACATATAACACTCAATCGCAACTGACACTTTTGAAATTCTCTTTCAATATGGCGACCAAGGATGCGTAAACAAAATGCGCTAACTTAACCCCTCCATTCGGAGATTTTACTCTTATTTATAGTTGTCCTGTGCAAAAATTTACTTTTCGAGATACATGTTGAGATAAACGTTTTTCATTACAAGCAGTAGAAGACATCATAGGTGCATGTTACAATCATAATATCGTAGGTTGAGAAAAATACTATTGTTTTTCTACTAGTTTTGAGTATTGCGCATTTGAAAATTTTATTGTCCTATAACGAAGACAATTCTAGGCAATACGGCTTCTTAGGACATTGGATAGTATTGCACAAGCTAGAATTAAATAAAACTTATTAAAAAAAAAAGGACATATGATAGTTTTATTTTAAATTAGAAATTAACAATAATAATGTTATATTTCAGTTTTTTAGCTGAAGTGGAAAAAACTTTCTCCAATGGTATTGTTGTGCAATTTTTTTGTAGCGTTATTGTTATATGCCTTACAGGATTTCAAATATTGGTCGTAAGTTGTTTTACTAATTGGATTGTACAAAAAGTTGTCACTCATATTTTTTCCAGATTTCAGTCACAAGTATACAGTTTATACTTCTTATTGTTTACTTCATGTGCATGATGTGTCAACTTGTTATGTATTGCTGGTATGGTCATATATTGATGGATAGTGTAAGTATAGTTATTTTACCTAAATTGATATCTCAGACGACCATGTACTTATTAAGTTTATGTTTCTTCCCATAAAGTCCCAGAGTTAGAATTAATTCAGTAAGTTGACAAAATAATTGTCATTTTATTGGAACGGTACACTTTTATGATTTCTCGCAACTACTACCAGCTTAATTAATTGCATTATGCACTAACTACATTTGTGTAAACGACTCTAAAAGTTTTAATTGTTATAAATCAAAACTAAAAAGACATAAAAGGGGTTAATTCTCGAAATATTCCTTCATTGAGAGTCTTTCCTTTGGCTGTGGACTGTAATTATTCTATAAGTGGTTCGAGCACCAACTTCTGGATTTTGAATTCACTTCTACTGGCTGAAATTAAAAATGTACCTTCCTTTTACGTATTTTTTTGAATAAGAGGCTTATAAATCGTAAGAATTATAACGAATCTACAATGCAATATTTTATAAAATTAAATTTAAAACCAGTGGTAATTTTTTAGAGCGATAAAATCTCTGAAGCTGTGTATTCTACCGAATGGTTTAAATGCAATGCAAGAATACGAAAAAGTTTTATAATCATCATGGAAAGAGCGAAAGTGCCAGTTAACTTGAGGGCTGCAAATTATTTTTCGTTAAATTTGGCCACACTAATGTCGGTAAGTAATAGTTTGTAATAGGTTTCGCAATTTCGAGAATTTTTTCGTGAGGGAGAGATAAAAAAGAAAAATTGGTAATGATTTTTTTCATATTGGTACGTCTAATAATTTGATTTACCTTTATCTAAATAGAAAGGTATTGAAAAAAATAACGTTATTTTTGAAACTGCAGATTTACTTTGTGTCGCCAGTATCATTGCCATTATTACCTACAATACATACTATCTCGTTTGGAAGATAGCTTAGAAAACTGGAACAATATTCTACATGTGTCAGCTAACTATATTTTTATTTTTAGATATTGAAATCGTCCTATTCCGCTTTTGCAGTGCTACGACATATTTACATCAATAAAACTTCGAATTATAATGTTAACGAGTTTTAAGGATTTAATAAGTAGATAATCACTATAAAAAGAATAATAATATAATAGATGCACCGATCTTTAGAATGAAAAAGCACAATGAAGATAACGCCTAGATATAGGATAATAAAAATGTCTATAAAATAAATATTATATGAATTTATTCGTACTACAAATTTATTTTTACTACATATCTAATGTGGTAAATATACTTGCTGTGTATTAATAATTGCATAACCATAGTGCCTATTATATGCTTGCAGATTTTGTATCAATAATCAAAATTGTCGTGCAATTGTAAAAACACTGTAGCAGAAACGGCTCGCCTAAAAAAATGAATATTTTGTGCAAATATATAACAGGATTAATGGCATACATAGTTATACAGATTGCTCAAAGCGGGCCGCATTGTAAGCGATCATATTGCCTCGCAAGTGCTAGTTAATCAAAATCGGTTTAGTAAAAATGTGTTTTAAAACCAAATTACAGCCTTTGAGCTTGTGTTTATAATAAAAAAACATATGGATAGTCAATCTATATAAACATATATCATTGACCCTCTTAAATTCATTATGCCCTCAGGTAACCATTTCCACCAGGTACCGATTGGTATGCAGCACATATTTATTTGGTTTGTATTTAACTGTATACCAAAATTAACGAAAATTTCCATAGTAAAATATTAAAACTTAAATTTAATAGCTTGACATAATCTTATAACGATAACCAGATATCTAGTACTTTTACTTACTCCATTATATTATTTTCTACAAAAAACTTCTTTGTTAACCTAAAAAAACTAATTATGACATTTATTACTTTATATATTAAAAAGTAATGGTGCAGGTTAGCCCGCCCTTCTCTTTATTTTAAACCTCCTGTGTAGGGTTACCATATTTAAAAATACAATTCCTTCCAGTAATTTCCTTAAAAATCCGGACAAAATAATAAAATTCCGGACAAAATAATGAAACTTCTGACAAAATAATAAAACTCCGGACAAAATATTAATAATCCAACTTATGAAATTATTGCCAAATGTTTTATTAAAAAAGTAACTAGCGTCAAAATTAAAAAACAAAACCATCCTTTAAATAGTTTCATAAAAAATAAACTATGAAAAAATAACAGTACTGTTTATACGGGATTTTAAGTTTACCTTAATACGTTTGATGATTTTCCTGAAAATTCCGGACAATTTAAATTTCCGGCTTATTCCGAACAAATTTCAAAATTCCGGACTTTTGTTGACGTCTAGTAACCTCACTCCTGTAGCTTCGCTTGCTGGACTACCGGCCTTCAATGTGCCGGAGTATGTCAGGTAGATGCTTATAAAGGTATCATTTTGGAACGCACGACAGACGACAGACGACAACAGAAGCGACGGCAAAGGAGACCGATGCATTTATGTTACGCTTCACATATTTGGGAAGCAAAGATACAGGAGACACGACAACCGCAGACACCATTCGAGGAACGATCAGTGTTGCCAGACCTTCTGTTTTTAAATATATCCACTGTTTTTGTCTCTGTTCTCCTGTTTTAGGCATGAAATCTACTGTTTTCGCCAACTTAGCAAATTTTGTTCTTAATTTATTAAATTTGCCTCATTCTTCAGCAAATGGTCGAAGACTATTTTCTCTAGTAAATTTGCTGAAGTAAAAGCAACGTAATAAGCAGTCATCATTGTAGGTTTGCTCAATAAAAAACATCAAGATAATCATTATGTTTTTATTCAAAAAGCAACAAAGAAATAATAGGGCATCATAAAAAGAACATGCATGCCAAACACAACGTATTTGAATTATCTGATTCAGAATACTTTTGTTTCTATACGTTAAGTATATATTAAAAATGTTATTATTTGTTTTTATGCTTTGTTAACTTTCTAATTTGGGTAGAAAAATGTTTATTTTTCGTTTCTTATATGCTTGTTTTTTTTTTATTTACTACACTGCAAATTATAATTATTTTCCTCTGTATTAAAATCTACTGTTCAGATCTACTGTTTTTTTTTTCGCCCACCTACTGTTCGAGCAAATTTTCATCTGGCAACTCTACCCAGGATAGATCGAAAGAACTTTGCAACTACCATTTCTCTAAAATATCAACTAATCACCTCGAAATACAAGCGATGACTAAGCGAGAGAGGCAGCAAACGCGGGTGGCACAAAATTGATCGAACAACATTTAATCGAATTGAAAATTTTTAACTAATTTACCTAGTCTGTGCCGTCTGGAGCCCTCGAGGGTTGCTTCGCAAAAAAAATTATACAAAAAAGGGAAAAATAAAGAAAACTTAACTAATTTACCCAACCTATGTGGCCTGTAGCAATTTAACTTGCTCTGACACAGGTTAGGTAACTCTTTTTAAAAACCAAACTAACTTACCTAACCTGTGTCAGAGCAATCAGTTAAATTGCTCCAGTCTGGAATCGTTGCGGTTTGCCTCGCAAAAAAAATTGTAAAAATAATTTACCTAACGTGTACTATTCAAATTTAACTGATTGCTCTCGCACAAGTTAGGTAAGTTAGGTACGTTAGTTTATTTTATTTTTTCATTGTTTGTTTTTGCGAAACAACCAGCGATGATTCTAAGCCGCACAGGTTAGGTAAATTAGGTAAAATTTTTGTTTTAATTTTTCTTATTTTTCTATAATTTCATGAATATTTGGTTTTTAGATCAATTGCTTCTTCTATCAAATCTATTTTCGATCAATTTTCTTTTCGATCATTATTCTTTTCAATCATTTTTCTTTTAGATCAATTGTTATTCGATAAAATGTTGTTCGATCAAATGTTTTTTCGATCAAATGTTTTCGATCAAATATTTTCGATCAATTTTGTGCCACGCTACCCCGAGACCGATCTATCTATCGTAAACTTCTGTCTCTAGCACTGGTCGCGCCTTGCAAAATGTGTTTCTAATAATTACATTTGTTCAGACGTGAAGAGACCGTTTTTGGTCTCCTTTTCCGTCGCTTCTGCTGTCTGTCGTGCGTTCCGAAATGGTACCTTAATTTTCAACATAAATTTTTACTTTAAATAGTTTAATAGTAAATTTGCATATCTTTAGGAATTCAAAATATGGGGAACATTTAATAAAATTGGTAAAAAGTAAGTATTTAAAATAATATAGGCAATAGTCATTTTTGCGTTTTATTATTTAGTAGGTATCTCAAAAATGTTTTTCATAATATAAATTTGTTTTGGTAGACAGTCTTAAAACCCTTTCACATCTACCGACAACGGCAGAATATTTTCACATTATCCGGCACAGTATCCGGCTGCAGTACCATATCCAGAGTTAACAAATTGTATTTGGTTATATTTGTTATATTTGAGACGCAAAAAACGAAATAAAGGCAGTTGTGGGTACATCCAATGATAAAATTGAGATATTTAGAGAGCTTCTATTATATTCTATTTGAAAAGTTGCTTGATGACCCAAATAAAACAGGACAAAAGTTGTTTCCTGCTTCTCGCCAACATGTCGTCACCTGCAACGATGCGTCATCGACAAGTCGGTAAATGTGAAAACAGTCAACATGTATTTACACGAAGTTTTATTCAATGTCGGCGTCGTTGCGGTGTCGTGTCGACTAATGTGAAAGGTCCCGGGTTTGTAGTTTCATTTGGTGAACAATATAAACTTCTGTTCAAAAATAACGCACCACTTACAATTTAAGATTAATTTTGATTATTTAAGACAATACTGACGTTTATTGTAAAAAAAAACAGGTGGCTCTTGTCAAGTAGGTATTCTTGTCAGTTTTGAATTGTTACGACTATACTGTATTAATTTGGCAAAGGGAAAAACAATATTTACTTTGTTTAAATCATTCCAGTTTTGTCAATGTAATGTTTAAAGTTGCTGTTTAAGTGACTATCTTAATTTGTAAGATCAATATTTAACCTATTCGCTAAAAAACATGAATCGAGCACGCCATTTAAGCAATGTAAGAGCTGTAACTTTGCTAGAAGTGGGAAAAAGTATGCGTTATGTGGGCAATTTGTTAGGTGTTCATCATTCAACAGTTAGTTAACTGATTAGAAGATTTAGGGACAATGGATCTCATCTTAGAAAGCGTGGTCAGGACAGAAAAAAGGCCGAAGTCAAATTGATGAGCACTTTCTCAGACAACAGGTGTCAAGAAACCGAACATGTACAAGTAAAGATCTAAGTAATCAACTCGCAAATGTAAGAAATGTGAGAATTTCTGCTTTAACCGTTAGGAGAAGACTAAAAGAAGCCGGATTGGCTAGCAGAAGAACTGTTACTGCACAATTGCTTACCGTAGATCACAGATCACGCAGATTAAGGTTCGCCAGAGATCATGCCCATTGGACTGTCGATGACTGGAAGAGAGTTTTGTTCACAGATGAAACCAGAGTAAGTCTAAAATCTCCAGACGGTTGTGATAGAATATGGCGGAGACCTGGAGAAAGGTTTTGTGATTGCACTATCTCTTCAAGGGAACCATTTGATAGTGGATCAAAAATGTTCTGGGGAGGAATTTGTTTTGACGTACGCACAGAATTAGTCCCCATTCGTCCACGATCTACGAATGCAGAATTATATCTATAAAACTTTATTCAAGACCATTTTATGCAGTTTGCGCCATTTATAGGGGATACATTCATTTTTATGCAAGATAATGCAAGCCCTCACATCGCAAGACCTGTGTTAGATTACCTAAATGAGATTAATATTCATGAAGTCCAGATTTGAATCCCATTGAGCACCTTTGTGATGTTCTGAAAAAATCAGTTCGGCGTCATATACCTACCCCAATCAACCTGCAAGAAGTGGAGCATGATGTTCTGTTAGAACGGAAAAACATTCAGAACTTGATAACAATCTTATCCAGACGAATGCAAGCGGTCATAAGAGCTCGAGGAGGTATTCCGCTTTATTAGGGTCCATCAATTTTTTTTAATTTGATTTTTCGTTTGTTTTATGAAGTTAAAAGATTTTATCCCTTTTCAATTTTTTGTATCTTATTGCTACATTTTGCTTAATTGTTCCAACTTTAAATTGAAATAAATGTTTCTCTATTTAATAATGTTAAATTACCCTTATTCATATTAACCATACATTAAATTCACTAAAAATGACAATAACACAAATATAATATCAATATTTTTAGTGGTACGGTAATTTTGAACAGGAGTGTTGTAGCGCATTTATTTTAATTTGATCTAGTTTTAAAAACATAACTTACAGCCAAAGTGAGCGCAAAGTTAAGTGACATTATGTTGTAGCAAGTAACTTCGAGTGGTTGTCTTGTACATACCAACATCATCAATAACATCTGGCGATTTTTCTTGTTCCAGTAAATCCAAGGACTCTCACAAAGAGCTTCATAGAATTTTACAGACTAAAACATTAAGAATTCAAATCATGTTGTATTATAATATAGTATTTATTCGGGATCGACGTCGTGAAGTAATGAAACACTTAGACAAGTTTAATCGTATTAAACAATTAGTCAACTGTAAGGGACATTTATTATCTTCTTAATATTTAGTAAAAAGTGAAAAATAATACAATAAAATAATTAGATTGTTTATGGTTAATGAGAGGATCCAGTTCGTCTATATCAGTTCATCTAAGTCATTAAGTGTAAGGGGTTAAAGAAAAGGTCCTTTATTTCTCACAAGTCAATTTAATTGGCGACTTTAACATATGTTAAAGTCCGTTCATGCTTTTATAATTGTTTTTTATTACAACTGACTCCTTGACATTCCATTTAGGTGTGCCTGATGATGAAGTGACAACTTCGAAACCGGTCGCCAATTAAATTGACTTGTGAGAAATAAAGGACCTTTTCTTTAACCCCTTACACTTAATCCCTACTACTCACATATGGCTACCCTCACTCCAAATCATCTAAGTCAGGCAAGATAAAAAATGGACTATTCCGCATAACTTCCTTCCGAGTGTCATATTTTTTTTACGCCCGTATTACAATCATGCACTTTATGCCCATAATCTGTTTCATAATGATACAGATTTTTAATCAATAGAAACCCATAATTTTTCGATCAAGCATACTGTGCATTTGACGTTTGTCCTAGATTCCTATTTAATTGTTTTAGTTGTCAAAATCAGTACGTATTAAATTTTCATAGATAGCTAAACATCAATAATTATATTATCAAAATGTCTGATATCAGCGATATAGAAGACTTACTTACCATCGACTCCTCCACACATATTGGAAAAAGCAGAAAATGCAGTACAAAGTATTTTGCCCCAAAAATCTATGGTAATACTAATACCCGAGGTAATACCATTAATTACAATTTTTTATAGAAATACGAGTAATTACTGTTATTGTGTTCAATACAAATATAAATATAATATTTATAGTTCTTGTTTATTTATCGGGTGTAGAAAAAATAGCCTATGCAACTTTCATGTAATGGTTATTAATACATGATCGTTGCATAATATACTATTGTACTATAAGATTTTTTTAATTTATTTTAGAAGGTACTGAAATAGTAAGAACTCTAAGATGGGCGTGTATATACATTTTCTTTTAACTATAATTGGTGTGAACTAAATAGTCCAATGAAATAAGGAAAAAAAGCCCCTTCGAGCTTACATTAATTTGTAATTGGATGAAACAAAGTGAACCTTGTGTATTTTGATGTGATCTTTCCGAAAAAAAGAAAAAAAAGATGTAGCTGTTTTTCAATTTTTTTTAAATTAGGAAAAACCGGGTTTTCCGGAATTTTCCATGGTAAAAATGCTAATTATCTGGGCAAGTATTATTCCTATAGTAAAAATAAATGCACCAATCGAAAGAGGAGGCAAATATAGTTCGGAAATTTATTGCACAGGTAGTTTAATGGCAAATTTCTCGCCGCCAGAAATGCTTTTACCAAAAAGTTGTTTTTTTGTTTCTTTGATCAGAACCATGGACATGAAATTTGCGATGAATTTGTGGCGAAATTATAAATGTTAGACATATGTGCCCATGAGAGAAGTTGCGTATTTTTTTGTTGGCTCTCAAATAAAATAAGTCCAGCGGCGAAATCTGCCATAATTTTTCGGGAATTCGCAGGAAACCGGAAGGCGTAGTTTTTTTAATTTTTTTTCCCATATGATTTGCTCCGGGTTTTCCGAAAACATCTAACAAAAAAATATATTTGAAAAAACTAACTTCACCATCGGAAAAAGCACAAAAAAATACATAAAAAAGGATACTTTAAAAATGTTAGGAAATTAATCCTAAACCTGAGTGTAAGTTCCAACTTGGTGATAAGCTTGTTTTATGTTCTCTAACATCTGGTTTTTAGTTACTTACAAGAAAAATTGAAATGGGAGAAGATATATATGCATGACAAAAATACGTATTTTCTGGTTACGTTCCGAATGAGACGGGTTAGTGGCGAAATCAGCAATACTTTTTGAAAAAATTGCAAAACAATTTTTTCTTGATTTCTCGTACTTTTTTCTAAAATAACTCGAAAACTAATTATCTGAATAGAAAACTGTTTCCATTAGATAAAATAGGAAAAAAAAAAACATGAAAAACTGTGGCATATTAATTTTTTCTAGCATCCACTGTTTTCTGAGCGCACGTGTGCAAAGATCGGTAATTCTCGCGAGAATTGAAGCTACTCGAATTTTCTCGAGAAAAGGGGCGTTTTCTGGCAATTGGGAGAGAAAGTAAGCTTGTTTCATTAAACTTACTGATTCTTATATATTTTCAGTCTGTAAAGTTCTCAAATTACGGGAAAAAATCGACAGCGTGCTTGTTTTTTCTCGAAAAAAAAAAAAAAAAAAGGGAAAATGTTGGATTTAAGAGAAAACTACTCGTTTTACGAGCAATTTTCTAAGCACAAAAAATGCGTAGTTTTTGGTTATATTTCGAATGTCATAGGTCGCATTGCAAATCTGCAATAGTTCGCGAAATCGTGGCCAAATTTTTTTTGAAATATTTTCCTAATTTTTTCTCTTTCTTTGAATGAATCGACAAGTCGTTGTTCGACTCAACTAAATTTCTCACCATTTAAAAGAACACAGTAGAATATCTGGAAAACTCTGGCCTTTATCTCAACGAGAACCTGAACATTGACTTCTGGGATAAATGTCAATAGAAACCATTTTTTATACATTTTTCTGGTATTGTTAGGCACTCAATGCGCGCAAATGGAATGCAAGATGTCGGTCTCGGTTTCTTGTGAATCCCAAATGAAGAGGATTAACTGGCAGCACTGGAGGGGATTGGAGGCCGGGTTAGGATGGTTGTATTTATAACAATAGCCAAAAGCAGTTTTATTAAACATAGTTATACTTATGTATTTCATCACAATTACATAAGAAAAGTCATAGTTGGCTATTACATTTAATTACAATTACAGCAACTTACATCTAATCAAAACAGTTTTACAATTACAACAACTTTCATTTAATCAAAACGTAATAGCAATTGATTTACAATTCATTGAGCAGATTCTCAATGTATTCATAATCATTTTCTTCGTAGTCTCCATTTTCTATGCTATCAAGCGATTCAATTTGTAATAATATGACTGTTTGAAGTTTAAACTTGTCGGATAGCGAACGCCGAGACCATGGCTATTCTTGATGCGACGTGCGGCTAATTTTGCGGTAATTCTATATTTTGCACAAAACTCAAGAAACTTCTTATAACAAGTCAGTAAAATACAATTTAATAAATTTTAAGCCTAATAAATTTAGGTATGTAAGAAATTTAAAACTGAAAATCGCAAAAAAAAATCAAATTACAGAAATGCAGTGTATACACGAGTTTTGGATCCCGTGGAGCGCGTGTAATGGGACTTTTGTCGGGAGAATTCTACAACTTAGAAGAAACATATACACTTTAAACTTTGTATACACATTCAGAAGACATAAAATTTGGGTTTGCTCAATTTTCAGACCAAAAAACTGAAAATCGTCAATTTTAGGCCACTTTTCTCAAAAACCGTGTTTTTTGGTCGTCACTCAATGAACAGTGGTCAAAAAAATAGATAAAATATTTTTGCAGAATTTTCCGTAATGTAATCGTATTCTAGATACAATAAAGTACTTAAAAAATAAAAGTGTTGAGCCATTGGGTGCATTTTTGGCATTTTTGTGCCATTTCAAACTTTCGAAAAAAAATTGTTTAATTGTTTGATATCTTGGCCAATTATAGTCCGATTTCGGTGAAATTCACAAACATAAGATATCACATTCAAGAGTAAACTTTGTAAGTGGCATTAAAAAAATTCAAATAGTTTGGCCGTTATAGGCAAACAATGAAATTAGGCCCGCGGTACACTTTGCCCTTTTTTGGGATTTCTCTTGCCCCCTTCTGGGAATCAATAGTCACATTCCTTAAGTTCAAAACACATTTTTGTTTTTTAAATATCTTAATTTTTACCAAAGTTATGAAGAATTTAATGTTTGAACATTTAACAAATTTAATTTTTTGATCTTCGCCGCCTCAAAATACTAAACAAATTTAAATCGTCCATACCGCGAGAACGGTGCATCGGATCAAAATTTCTCAGGAGACATGAACATTAGCATTTTCCCTAATCTTTCAAATGTCGTAAACTGCGTTTTGAAAACAGCTACATTTTGTTTTGTCTTTTTTCGAAAAGATCACCCTAAAATACATAGAATCCATTTTGTTTCATCTAATTACAATTTAATGTAAGCTCAAAACCGGTAATTTAATTCGATTAAAAGCATTCTTTCGAAGAAAAATAATTCTTTTTATAAATGTAAAACTGATTTTTTCCACAACCCAACTACTTGGCGTACAATAAAAAAAGCATAGAGCATTGCAGTGTTTGCAAGAAGATATTACAATCCCAACAAATAATTAATTATCCAAGTGTAGTTTTGAGATGGAGAAATGGTGATTTTTGGAAATGGCAGCATATTTTGAATATAGTGCCTCTTAATTTAATTAGTAGCAATAGCGAGATAGTTTAGAAATCATTAATTTATTAAAACGCTAAAAAAATTTACAACGCACAAAACACTAACTGATATTAGGGTATATTCTGTAACAATTCCTTTATATTTAACGGCCTTTAAAAATATTGGCGGCCTTTAAAAGTATATTTGTATTCGTTAATTTACTTCTGTCATTATTTAAACAGATTTCTTTAAGATAGTCCTCTAATGTATTTTAAAGATCCGTTTAAATAGTGACCGAATTAAAGAAGAAAATATAAATATAAAGGAATTTTTACAGAATAGACCCCAATGTCTGAGTTTCTTCATATTAATTGACGATTTTGACATGTTCTATAAAAATAATACAACAAAAACCTATACCAGTGCAATTAAATATTTAAATTTCATTACCTCATCTGTTAATAACTGTCCATAGTAACAATATGTAAAATAAAATAATAATGTTGTCGTCATAATTAAATACATAGAACAGTTAAATTTCGGATCTACTTCCTAAAACAGAAAAGTTAAAAGATAAAAGATGAAATACGATTACAAAAATAAATTGTGAATATTGGAAAAAAGAATAAAGAGTCTCGTGTGAAAATCAATGAGTTATTTATTAGCTACCGGTTTCGAAATAGTTACTTCATGTTTAGGCACACCTAAATGGATATTGTCAAGCAGTCAATGTTTTTAAAAGTGAAAGTATTTTTTTTTTTAATTTGGTGTCATCGGCGTCGACTACTACGGTCATTAGCCTCGTGTTCTGTGTAGGCTTTGTTACTGTTTCCCAGCGCCACTTTAGGAACAGCACTGTTAATTAGAACCCAACAGTGAATGGTCGAGTGGCATCAGAATTAATTTTAAATAATTAAATTAAATGAAAAAATCCCGGCCAACGGTGGGATGAAAGTATTTTAATAAAAATAAAATGAAAATTGTCCAAAAAACAACAAATACTTATTGTGAAAACAGTTAAAAATAATTTGACTTACAATAACACATCCATTACGGATTAGCAACATGGATAAACATACAAAGTAAGAGGGTCATCACTGTTATTGCGTTCAATATAAAAATATAAATATAATATTTGAATCACTTATTTGAGAAACACCATAAGTCATAATTTCGGCCATATTGAGTTATGTATAAAATATTATTATTTATAAGTCGATACATCATTTGCTGAAGAAATCCTATTAGTAAGTTAATCTATACGCTTTCTACGTCATAAAGAATATTACGTTTGATAGAGAAACCCCACGAGTCGCTGACTAATAGGGTTTCTCAAATAAACCACTTGCGGTCTTGCGTAGAAGTTGTTTACTTTACTTGCATAAACGGTTAATAATACAATAATTTTGTCAGTGCTTGTGTGCATTTGTTCGAAGGTTGATTGAAATCTAAAATATGTCTTCAAGCAGTAGTGACAGTGAATTAACTGAAGCAAAAAAGGAAAAGAACGGACAAAAATATATATCTGATTATAAAAGTGAGAAAATCAAGTAAGCAAGAGTAAAGTTTCAACCCTACACAAACTATAAGGGGAATAACGTACCAGAAAGGAAGACAGGTCCGGACTGGAAGTAAGTTTAAATTTAATAAGTTTTAAGTATTTTGAATAGGCTAACTTAGGGCTTCTTTTTAATTTCAGATGCAAAAAAGTGTTTTTTATTCGTGTCGGAAGCTAACAGACCGGAAATTTTTACAAAATTTATAGATTTTTCCACTAAAAATGAGCAAGATGCGTATTTGCAGAGTTTGATTTCGACAATGGCAGTTAAAAACAGAAGACCTCGTAAAGAAGAAGGAGCACGTTTAAAGCAAAGTACGTTTTCGTATTCAGTATCCTGTTCTTCTGGAAAATTCAGTGTTTGCAAAAATGCTTTTGTAAATATACATGGAATATCACCCGACAGAGTAAGGCGTCTTTGCTTTTTGTTGAGAGATGGAAAAATACCACAAGATATGCGAAGTCAAAATATACCAGGCAATGCTATATCTGGGGAAACTGTTGAAGTTATTAAAGAACATATTGGTTCTTTCCCGGTCAAGCAGACGCATTATAGTTCACGTGAATACCGTTACTTAAGTGAGCAACTTAATGTAAAAATCATGCATAAGTTGTTTAAGGATAAGCATCCAGAATATGCCAGTGTAAAGTATGATTTTTATCTGAAAGTTTTTCATGAAGCCTTTTCTCTGACATTGTGAATGTTGTGAATGTGAAACGCTAAAACTTAAAATAAACAGTAAATCTCTAAATAATAATGCAAAACGTGTTGCAGCGGCAGAGAAGATGGTGCACCTGAGGAGAGCGCGAAAATTCTATTCGAAACTGGAAGAAGTTACAAACTTAATAAAAACAGATGACATGGTTTTTGGAATTTGTATCGATTACATGCAAAATCTTCAGTTGCCCAGTATTCCTATACAATAAGCCTTTTATTTGAGACAACTTGTTGTGAATGTTTCTTGTATACACAACCTCAAAGACAACTCAGCTACGTTTTATCTATATAACGAAGGAATTGCTGCCAAGGGACCGAATGAAGTTTGTTCATTTCTGATAGATGATTTGAAAAACATCCCAGAAAATGTTCAAACCTTACATCTTTTTTCTGATGGTCGTCTAGCACAGAACAAAAACAATACAGTCGTAAGATTGTTTCTCAGAACAAGTTCCAAACAATAAATCAGTACTTTCCAATATGAGGACACTCCTTTTTACCATATTTGATCATACATATACTCTTGACGAATACAGAAAACTGTATACTTGAGTGTCCTCAAAAGCAAAAGTTTTTCATAAAATTTCCGAAAATAGAAGATATTATAGATTTCAAACAATGGTGGCCAAAATATTATAAAAAAACGTGCTTATCAACAGAATCTCAGGGAAGGGGAATCCGCAAAGATCTTAAGATGTCATTCAAGATAAACCAGTTTATTCATTTTACGTATTCGTCAAATACACCTAACAAGGTTACTGCTAGAGATTTTATAGAAGGATTGTTATCCCACACATTTCTTTTGCAAACTTCAAAAGAAAAACGTGTACCTTTGCCAGAAGAACAAGGATATACAGGCCCTTTACCCATAAATAACAAAAAATGGATAACCTAAACACATTTCAAAAATATTTAACAGATGATGCTGCTGTTCAAAATTTCTGGGATGAAATTTGTTCATTACCTACAAAGGAAACTGAAGACTAGAAAATGTTACAATATACTTTTTTTTTAAAGTTAAATAAGGAAAGAATGTTTTTGTTTAAATAAATACATAAAATATCCGTTTCAGCAGTTTTTTTATTTAAAATCGTGTTTATTTGAGAAACCCTATTAGTCGAGAACTTTCAAAAACATTTTCTAAGAATATAGTCAGTCAATTCTATATTACCAAATTCAGCAAAAATATGTGGTTGCTTATGAGTTTATTGAAACATAAACACAATAGAATCATTAAGATAGCTTTCGGATAAATTATACAGTTTTTATTGATTTTCTCAAAACTTGCTTTTCGTGACTTAAGGGGTTTCTCAAATAAGTGATTCATTTACAGTTCTTGTTTATTTATCGGGTGTAGAAAAAATAGCCTATGCAACTCTCATGTAATAGTTATTAATACATGATCGTAATAAATCGTCATAAATGAATAACAAAATTTTTATTTAACCAAAACGGAGTTGCTTCTTTGAGTTGGAATATACCAAGGCTCTTTTCGTAATTCGTTAAGGAGATCAATGATCTTTAGTTGTGAACTTATGAATATGATGCTGCCAGAACATTCAAGTCATGCATTTTGAATCTTTGTTGGTAATGATTTAGAGATTTTTTGAAAACATAATAATTTAAAAATATATTAAATTTGTAAAATAAAAATTTACTTACAGTCATTACAAAATATAGGGCAGCTATAATCGCTATTCCTCCACCAAAAGCCAGAAACAAAATAGGCATATGAATCATAGTCATATAAGAATTGTGAAACCTAGAAAGGATTAAATATGTAAAATAATAAAACTAATAAATACTACAGTACTTTTAAAGAAAAATGTAGTATAGAAATTTAGAAGACAAAATAACCTATGTTTTTTAAGTATTTTAACACTCACTATTTAAAGAAAAATAATTAAAACGAAAATATGTAGAATTACTTTAAATATATTTTTCTCGTAAATACAAGTCAATATAAATAAAATGCCCTTTTATAAATACAAAAATACAGCTGTCACTTTTCTCTTTTAGGGCTTATAATAAATAGAGATCGTGTAATGTTGTTTTAACTTACGTTTTCAATTTTATGTGGTGCTTTGCGCAGATTTTTAGAATCGTATAAATATGATCTTGGTACTTGTTATCATCTAGTGTTTTTACAGCATTAATTTTCAATTTACTTATATTGCAATTGAAATAATGGATTAGCAAACGAACTTGCAATATAATGTGAACCACACAAAATATCAAGAACCACATCGGGAACATAAAAATGTAAGCCATAAAACCAACCAGTACCAAAATAATCCATTTTAAATAAAAATAATACTGAGTAAATTTTTTTTGCAAAAAATAAAGTACATAAAGATTAACATTTTTATCATAAATGCAGTTTAAAGTAACTAAGATTAATACTGTAAGCAATTGTATAATAAATGTAACACTACAAATAATCTTCGTCATCTTTATTTCTTGTTTAATTTTCTGATTGAAAATAGCATTCTCAGTTTCTAAAGATCCGTAATGTTGATACAGAAACTTTGGAAAGTTTCCCAGCCTTTTTAAATAAATCGGACAAATATATAACATGGCTACATGCTGAAAAATATGAATTTTGTTATAAATATTTTCTGTGTATTTAACAAGTTAACTGCCAGTGGTTTCATTCATGACGTGAGCCGAGAGCTTATTATTGATAGACAAACTCACGAATGCGGAGACTAAGGACTCAAATGAGATGGAAAGGGATGGACATGCCATACAGGATCAACATAACCAACAATCAGTAATGCCACTCTGATGCGATTCATTTGAGCTTTAGAATGTAAAAAAAGTAACCATCTTTTAAATTTTTCTTTGGTTTGTTATCCACCCTGATTTATCTAAAATTTGTTTTTGCAATTTAAATCGGCAAAAATTCCCCGGATAAACCTTCAGTTTATTTTTATTTTTGATATAAAATATTAGTTTTTAGTTAAAAGTTTACCTACTATTTAGTTAAAAAGATAACGTTATTTTGTCAAGCGAAATATTTAAAATAAAACAAGGTTAGATCAGCTATTTAAGAATTTTATTCAGTACTTACAGGATTTTACTGCAAAATCTATAGCGATATAAGATAGCGACGTTCAGTATAGTTTTTTTTTTTACAAATAATAGTGACTTTTTGTGGAAGAGTTCAAGTAATGGCCATTGTAAAAATTTTTTTGTGTTAATTAATTTTGCATTTATTTAAAAATAATATCTATACGAGTTTGACTTTACACTAATAATAAAGAATTAGTAGGTCTGTTTGACTCCAAACAGCGAATTTATAGTAATAATACTAAAGTATCTCTTTTCGATATTGACCATTAAATGTTACGTTTGTTTATTTTAAACAACAGTTCATTTGTTAATAATTTATTTGAACACTTATTTATTTTAAAACAATACTATTCTAATTTGTATATATTTCGAATGTCTTTAAATTGTTCACTATTTCTTGGGGTTTAGCATCAGTTGGGCAGCTTGAAGTCTTAAAAACATCTTCTAAGTTCTTTAGATGTTCATCAAATGTTTTCCCCAAGACTATAATGTCATCTAAATATACCAGGTACGTTTTCCATGATAACCTTCACAATACATTTTCCATAAGTCCTTCAAATACATTACATAATCCAAATGGCATGACATTGAATTGTCACAATCCAGATCCAGTGGTAAAAGTTGTCTTTTGTTTGTCTACTGGTTCCATTTCCACCTGCCAATATCCAAACTTTAGGTCTAAGGCAGAAAATAGTTTATTGCTGGCCAATGTGTCCAAGGTATCGTCGATTCGAGGAAGAGGATAACTATCTTTCTAGGTAACATTGTTCAACTGACGGTAATCCACACAGAACCTCGTAGTTCCATCCTTTTTCTAGACCAGGACTACCGGAGAGACCCATGGGCTGGTAGAAGGTTCTCTCACCCTGTATTCCTTCATTTTCTGAACAATCCTTTCAACTTCCTCTCTCTTGGCCTTTGGTAATCTTCGAGCTGATTGATAAATCAGCCTGGCATCACCAGTGCAAATTTTGTGTTTTACAACAGAAGTTCGCCCTGTTTTTCTGCCTTTTGGTAGAAAAATGTCACGATATCGTAGAAGAAATTTCTTTATTTTCTTTTTCTCTAATTGATTCAGATATTGACCTGCTACTGCAATTATTAGCTTAAATTTGTCGTTGGAATTATCAAAGTTGTTGTCTGACAAATTATGGAAGTTACTGGTACATAAGTTCCCATTCTGGTCTCTTTCTTGATGATGATTACGTGATCATTAGCGTTTATAAAACGGACTTCTTTATCGTGGTTCCAAGGTTCCATCATTAAAGATGTTCCTTCTTTCATAGTTTCTTAAAGCCGTGCTACCATAACGGTTTCACTTCGGCCAGGTACCACCGTATCCTCCTGTAGAGCAACTGGCACGGTACTGTCCCCATATGGATGTAGGAATACCTCTTCGGTACCAACTATTATTACTCTGTTCTTAAAGTCTAACTGGAAACCATGTAAGTTCATTATATTCATTTTAAGTATAACATCTTCTTCGATATCAGCGACAATAACAGTTTGAGTGAACTTTTCTGTAGCAATTCCTAATTGAACCTGGATTTCCCCATGTATGTTGACACTTTCACATGTGGCAGTCGCTTCAGTATCCACCAACAGTATATACTTTTTACCATTGACTTCGCCATCTACGTGTACACTATCATCGCGACATTTCAAAGAGGTTATCAGTATGAGAAGGTCTTTGGAACGGTTTCGGGTCGAAGCCGCCCCCTCTAGGCCGACCCGCTCTAGTTTTACTGCGTCTTCATTTGTTGGAAACTTCGTACATGTCCCAGTTCACCGCAATTCCAGCACCTGATGGTCTTTGTCTTCATATTTTTATTAGTAAGACTCTTCATCATGTTAACCAATGGGTCGAGTTTATCTTCCCCTTCTTCCTCTTTTACAGTCCTCACTTTGCTATATCCACCAGAAGCATGTGTAGCTGCCTCATACTCTAAAGCAGCGAAAAAGACATCGACCAATGTTTTTTGGCGGGCTAAGCGGAGTGTTTTCTGCATCTCGTGGTCATGGAGTCCATCAACAAATGTTTGGACTGCTAAAGATTCCATCATGTTTTCCGGAGCTGATGGGTAGGCAAATCGCACCAACCTGGCAATATTTACTTCATATTCTTGAAGGATCTCGTCTCGTTTCTGTTTGCGATTCTTTAACTCTGATTGGTACAGATGCTCCAAATATTCATGGCCATATCGCATATTTAGTTTCTTTTAGTCTCTTCCACGGGTATAGCTTGAAGAACATCTAAAACGTCTTCTCGAAGGGCGATTGTCAGATTCACTGGCTTTTCTCTCAGACCATTCGTTTGCTCTCGCAGCTGTCCCGAACTGTTTAAGATAGTTGGTCCATGACATCTTTCCGTCAAAGGTTGGGGCTTTAACACGAGCAGATAAACTTTACTATCTAAGGAATAAATGTCCGAAGAAACTTTACTTTTTATATCTGGAATGTATTTGAAAGCGCCTTCGCCATAGTAGTCACATATGTTTGGTCTTAAAGGGTTTAATTATGTATGATAATCGGACAAGTTGAGCTTCAAAGGCCAAATAAGACAGAGAGGGACTTGGATGATTAGAGCATGACTGAATAATGAAATGGCTCGCATTACATTTTTAAACTCACTGATTTAAAATGGACTTTAAGCTTAGTGACTATGCTACAGGTTTGCTTGGAAGCAGCCACAAAATATAATAAAAAAGTTAAAATATTATGGATATTCAGAATCAGTTTATAATAAAATGATTACCAAGTATTTAATAGATAGTCGAAGAAAGGAACCTATTGAAAATAATAAGATCAATATAAATATTTATTGATACCTGATTATCGTTATATATCATAAAAAATATCTAATTTTCAGGTTTCAGCTCGGCAGTTAACTTGTTAATGCATGAAAAAAGTGGAAAGATAAAACCATTTTAAAAATGTGTTACAGTCATGATATAAATCGCTGATGCACATATAAAACGATTAAAAGTTTATTTATGAAAGGATTTAATTTTCCTATGCAGGGATTTCTTGTAATTAAGCTAGGCATTTTAGGGATTAGTTTACTAATAAATTTAAAATACAATAACTGATTTAAGAGAAATTTGTATATTATTATGTATATCTGTAACGTGTGGAGGGTGTGGTGAGGGTGTGGCGGGTTAGTCCACTGTACTTATGCCTCTCTAGGTGCATTCTGCATTCTATATGTATACCTATTCGACTATGAGACTGAACAATATAACAACTATGGTATTGGATATTAGTTATGAGTTAAGGGCCATGACTCTGTCGTCAGGCTGATTGTAAATCAGTTTATGTATGTATACATATATGTTAGCAGGTAAACAAATTTTTATGTGATTACTCATTATGGTGGGGTATATAGAGCAGCGGCAGTCAAGAGCGGGGGGTGCGGGGAAACGTTTGCGGAGGCAAGGTACCGCCGACACCTCCCCAGGCAGAACGAGGTGAGTTGCCTTGAGTGTCGAGTGTGTGGTCAGCTGTGGTTGAAGGCGGTTGATTCTCACGCATTGTGTTTGATCGATAAAATCATTTGGTAACTAAATAATTATTTGACTTGATAATTAATAAAATCTAAGATAAACATATTCGACTATGAGATCGAACTATATTCCAATTAAGACATTTGATAATTATAGATAGAAATATAGATAGAAATATAATAAT